GTAAGGGGAAAAAATGACAATCAAGACTTGTCATGTGGAGGTACAAGATCCCAACAATGAATGTAACTGTATTGTATCCCTAAAATGTACCAATAAACTCAATTAAGCTAAAAAAAAAAAAAGAGAGTGCAAGCTGACCTAAATAAAACCTTCCTGGACCAGGAGTGGCAGCACAGGTGGAGTAGGAGGATCATGGTAAGCTGGAGGGCAGCCTGGACTGCCTAGTGAAACCCTGTGTCCAAAAACTAAAACAAAAACAAACAAACAAAAGTTAAGAAAAAAGCCTTCCTGGGATCCTTGTTTGATCATACCCCTCTCACACCCTCAAACCCTTATAAAAACCCCAGCCATTTACATTAAAGTTGTGGTCCTCACTTGGAATTCATCTCCTGTTTCCTTGCAGTGTATCAATAAACTCTTAAAACTTTCTGACATTCCCTTGACAATTGGTAAATTCTTTTACTGCCTATGGTACCTTCCTTTCACATGCTACACCTTACATATGCAATGTACCATGTGCAATGTGGATACATTGGACAAAGGGATGATGCACATCTGTGGCAGGCCTGAGCAAATTGATGTGAGGTTTCATTACATCTCACTGCAAGATTTAAAATTCACCAAATATTTCTGGAGTTTTTTCAATTTGAAATTTTTGGGTTGTGTTTGACACATGTGTAACTGAAAATGTTGGAAAGGAAACTGACGATGGAGGTGTCTACTATACCAGAAAAAAGTAGGATTTTTATTATAGATGAATAAATAGGCAGTTGGGTCTTGAGTTACATCCCACTCCTTTTATTTTTTATTTTGAGAAAAAGTCTTGCTAATTTCCCAGGAGGAAAAAACATTAATTGCCTAGGTGGGACCTCAAATTGCAATCCTCCTTCCTGCCTCAACCTTGCAGAGTGCTGTAATTAGAGGTATGTGCCACCATGTCTGAGTCAGTTTACTTTTATTTATTTAGGTAGATCACAGGTTAAAATATGACAGTCTGGGGCCAGGGATTTAGCTCAGTGGTTCTAGTGACTGCCTCGCAAGCACAAAGACTGAGTTTGATCTCTGGTACCAAAATAAAAAATAAAAAAAAATTAAATAAAATATGAAAATGTGGCATGGCGCTTACTTTTAATTCAACACAAAACAGACAATTGAGAGTTTTCAACTCTATAAATTGTGTCTATAATCCAGCAAAGTTGTTCTTAATAGTTCTGCATAGCAACAACGTCTCAAGCCTCTAATTGGACTGTTACTCCCATTTATTTACATGTCTATGGCTGCTTTCCTATTATACCCGTTGAACTGAGTACACGGACTGGAAGGATACAAAGCCTAAAATTACTTACTCTTTGGCCCTTTATAGGAAGTTGTTGTCGTGCTGGGGATTTAGCTCAGTGGTTCGGTGGCCTGCCTTGCAAGGGCAAGTACCTGAGTTCAATACCTGGTATCAAAAAAAAAAAACAAAAAAAAAAAAACCCCAAAAAACAAAAACAAAACAACACCAAAAAACTGTAGGGCAAGGAAGTTGTTGTCTCTGGGGCAGACATTCTAAAATATTTTGGTCTCAGGATCTCTTGTTTTATTTTAAAGATTTCAAAGATTTGTTTTATTTTGTTTTGGTACCGGGACCAAACTCAGGTCCTTGTGCTTGTGAGGAAGGTGGCGGAACCACTGAGCTAAATCCTTGGCCCAAGAGTTTTTGTTTTGTATGGGTTACATTTATTACACATTAACTTAAAAAGAAAATTAAAATTTTAAATTCATTTAGAAGTATAACAAAGCAAATCCACATGAATATAAATAACATTATAAGTCACTGTGCTTTGTAAAACTGAACACTAGAGAGAACAGTAGCATCATTTCCTAATTTTGCAAAACTTTAAAATCTGGCTTAGTAATACATACTGGGTTTTCATATCTCCATCTGCTATCAATATGTTGTATGTTGTTTAGCTGAAATATTTGAGGAAAAGCTAGTGTCATTTACATACTTGGGAAAGGGAGTATTTTCATAGCCCTTTTAGATACTTGTGATAATTATTTTTTTACTACACCAAAACATTACAAGTGATAGGTAGTTTCCTAAAGATTAATTGAAATGTAGAATTTGAAATTAGTGAATCTGTGGTTATATGTGTGCATTCGTGTGTATGTATCTATGTGTGGTGCTGGAGAACAAACCCAGAACCTAGCACTTGCTAGGCAAATGCTGTATCACTGAACTATATCCCCATTTACTTAAGATTTACTGGTCTATCTTCTACTTTCATCTATCTTTCATCCCTGTATAATTGTATAACATGGAGTGAGTTTATTTTGTACTTTGTTATTTGTAAAATATCAAAGTTGGTGATTTGAGAAGTATCAGTTCAACGAGTTAATAGAACTTATGACACCGACATTTTTAATATCACACCTATCTTAGTTACTTTTCTCCTTGTTGAGACAAAAAATACCCAACACTCAAAGTTAAAGGAGCAAAGTTTTACAGTTTGTAGAGGTTTTTTTCAGTTCATACTTGGCTGGCTTGGCTCCAAGACAGGTTGGCATAGAGAGGGGTATGGCAGAGGAGAAACAGTCCATGGCGAAGCAGTGCAGACAGAAGGCAGCAAGGCAGAAAAGCAATGAAGCAGCATGGCAGCGAAGCAGCAAGCCATGGCTGAATCTTTCTGTCCCTTATATTCTATCCAGTCTGTCTACCCTCATTCACATAGAGTGGGGCACCCTCAATCCCAGCATCCCATCCTTAATCCCATTATCACACACCCTAGACCCATCCAGCTGAGAGAAGCTCCATCTCTAACCGCAAGAGGCTTTGCGGGGAGATTGTCACTTCTACCTTCAAAATAGGGGTTCACTCACCTTAAAAGTCAAGAAGTTGAACTAGGGATGTAGCTTAGTGGTAGAGCACTTACTTAGCAGGAGCGAGGCCCTAGGTCTCTACCAAAGCAAAACAAAATAAAACGAAAAGGAGGGAAACAAAACTCAAGGGTTTTGCAGAAACTACAGGTAATATAAATAGTTTGGTCTGCTGGGGATACCTGCTAGCGGCCTCGGTGCTATTTCTCCGCCTGACCGCCAGGGTGGCGCTTGACTGCAAGTGTCGGTTCCTCCGCGGAGGGTGCCGCTCTTGGCGGTTGCGGCGCCGCTGACGTTCAGCGATTAACACTTCCTCTCTGTTTGCCGGGAGGATGCCCCAGTGTTGTGGGTTGTAGCTGGCGGGTGTCTTCCTACGAGGATGGCTATGGAGCGTTCCGTGCCTAGCGAAGGTCGGCTGTGGGAGGCGAGCCCGGGCGGGCGGGCAGTGTGGGCGGCGGAGACCCGGGGACCCTTTACTAACGAGGCCTCCCTTCTTCCCACAGTGACAGCACCCGACGTGGCGGGACCGGACCCACAGCTGGCGGTGACCATGGGCTTCACGGGGTTCGGTGAGTGATGGTCCGGACTGAGTGCCCCCACCCCCGGGGACTGAAATTTATATTAGGTGAGGCGGCCGAACTATCACTTCTGCCCTGCACCTTCTCGCTGGGACAACTCCGAATTACTTTAGCTGCAGCATAGACCTGTTCGTCTTCTAACCTGCTGATCTATTGATGCCAGTTCAGATGACACTTGTGAGAAACTTTGAGAGAAAGGGATGGCTTTTGTGACTCACTTGGAGGAAGACACTTGCAGGCTGTTGTTTCTTTGCTTCCTGAGATAGAGCTAAGTAAGTCCTTAAAGAGACTTGTTCCTTACGGGAACAAATGGGCTATTAAGTGATGTTGTGATGGTTGTTCAGCTTCATTTATTTACTTATTTATCTTTTGAAACAGCGTCCCACTATGCAATTCAGGCTGACCTTGAACTGAGTATGTAGCCCAGACTGGCTTCAAACTCGTGGCAGTCCTCCTGCTAAAGCAACTGGAGTGCTGGAATTAAATCATTTATTTAGCTAATACTTTGAGCAACATACTTAGTATCATCTCTGTGGTCACATCTGTGTAAGTGTAATTGTGGCACATGTGTTTATTTCAGGTTTTTTTTAAAGGTTTTTTTGTCTTAATTTTTAAAGTAACACTTATTTTATTCTTTTTATATTTAAAATTTTTGGCACTGTGAATTGAACTTGGGACCTTGTTAGAGCTTGTGAGACAGGCATGGTGCCACTGAGCCAAATTCCTAGCCCTCAAAAGTAACACTTTTTCAGGTGTAGGGAAAGTGGGAAGGGTAGGGGAAAGGAAATAAGGGAAAAGAAAAAAATATGAGAAAATGAAAAAATGGAAATAGAGTTAGTAAATGGGGAGGGGAGGAGGGGGTGAAGGGAGGACAGGGACAAGGGGAAAAAAATGAGAACCAAGAACTGTCATGTGAAGGTACAGGATCTCATTAATGAATGTAACTGTATTGTAGACCTAGATTGTACCAATAAACTCAATAAAAAGAAAAAAAAAAGTAACACTTTTTTGAATGGGGGGGATATAACACTTTTTAATTCCAGGAAATCTAGAGAACGCAAATTACAAGGAAGAAAGAAGTATCATTCATACTCCCAGAAATCAAAACAATTTGCTGTGAATTTTTCTGCTCTGAATTATATCATGAATAAATGTGTATACACACACACACACACACACACACACACACATTGATAGCAAATCTATGGCATTCATTCCCCAGTGAGTTTTATCACTGAAAGATCTAAGAGAGGCGATATCACCGATACACAATTTTAAAGACCTTACTTTGAGCATTTTCTCATGTTATAAGATATTCTTCCAAAACATTTTTTTTTTCTCTTTTTCCCATTATGCTGAGGATTAAATCCAGGGCCGCCTCCCATGCTAAGCAAGAGCTCTTCCATTGAGCTACACTCCTAACCCCCTAAAACATAATTTTTTTTGTATTGGGGATTGAAGTTGGGTCCTTGTGCTTGTGAGGCAGGTGGCAGTACCACTAAGCTAAATCCCCAGCCCAAATTTATACTTTTTTTTTTCTACCAGTGATCAAACCCTGGACCTTGTGCTTACAAGGCAGGCAGCGGAATCACTGAGTGAAATCCTTGGCTGTCTTAAAACATAATATTTTTTTGTCGTGACAGTGTCTCACTATGTAGTTGAGACTGACCTGGAACTCACTATGTACCCCAGGCTGGTCTTGAACTCACAGTGATCCTCCTGCCTCCCAAGTGCTGGGATTATAGGCATGTGCCACCATGCCCAGCCAAAACATAATTTTTAATGGGTAATACAGTAGTAGAGGTGCCATAATTTGTAATACTTTTGTTAACTTTCCCTTTTGTTGTTTCTAATTGTAATTTTTTTTTCAGCTTTGAGTTTATTGGTACATTTTAGGGATACAGTACAGTTACATTCATTGTTGGGATCTTGTACCTCTACATGACAAGTCTTGATTCTCATTTTCCCCCTTACCCCTGCCCTCCCTTCACGCCCTCTCTAATTGTAATTTTTTTACCAAAAATATTGAAACATTTTTTTGAATAACACTTTTCTTTTTCTACAAAGCTTTTTATGTGTATTTACATAGGATAGATTTCTAAAAGAGGGAATACTTTTTTCAGAAATATAATTTGGTATCTCTTAAAGCATCTTGCTACTTATTGCCATAATGCCCTTTGCAAAGATTGTTTCAGTTTTTACCAAAATCAACAGTAGGTGAGAATGCTATTTTTATAGTATCTTTATCCATGCAGAGTATTACTTTTAAAAAGAAAAAAGAAAAAGCAAACAAAATTTTGCCAGTGTGAATGTGAAAAATGTTTTCTTACTTTGTATTTTAAAATTTTAAGAGCTATCCATTCAAAAAATTGAGATTTTTCCTAATTTCATTGACCCCTTTCTAGACTTCTGATCTGATGTCCTATTTTTTTTTTTTTTTTTATTCTTTCCAGGACTAAGGATCAAACTCAGGACTTTGCACTTGCGAGGCAGGCGTAATGCCACTGAGCTATATCCCCAGCCTTTGATGTCCTATTTTGATCATTATGCATTACTGAATTGGTAATAGTTTTTTTTTTTTTTTTTTTTTTGGGGGGGG